CCACCTTAGGTGTATGTGGCTGGCGCCTTAGCCGGTTGAGCTATAGGCGCTGAGCCTAGAGGTAGGGTCTTAATGTTGTTCAGGCTAGTATTGAACTTGTGGGTGCCAGCAATCTACCTGCCTCCGCCTCCCAGAATGCTAGCATTACAGACCTGAGCCAACCACCTTGCCTGACTGGACAGAGCACATTGTGCAGCCCCTCTGTAGGGAGGGAGCTGCAGAACAAACGCCCCTTCCTCTTTCTCCTGCTCTCTCCTCTTCCTCCTGTCTCCTACTGGCTGACCCCAAGCAGAAGGCAGAGGACAAGTGAACTGCTGATGAAATCCCTCCCACTGGTCTCCTGGGGGTACCCAAAGACAAGAAGGTGGAGAAAGGATTCCTGGATGTGTTTCTGGCAACAGGGAAACATCTTACTTGAGAGTTGCTATTTTAAAATGATTTTTCTTTTCCTCTTATTTTCTCCCTCATTTATCCTCCAAGTCCTCTCCTTGGAGTCTGCGTTAATGTGCTGTCCAGCATGTGGACAGTGCCCAAGGCTGGGTGACCAGATGTAGAGAGGTGCCAAGTGGTTGACTGCTCTTACCTAACAGTTTCAGTGAAACACAAGCCAATATGTTTATATGTTGTTTGCTACTTTCTTGGTTTTTTTTTTTTTTTTTTAATGTTTGGGTTGTGAGTATGTAAACATTTCTCAGAAGACCAGAAGAAAGAGGGCCCAACTTCCCTGATGTCTCTTTCCTTTTCTCCTCATACCATTAACCTCACAAATTAAGATCTCTTCTGTTCTTCTGTGGAAAAAACAGGCCAAGATTCTGATTTGATGATTATGTCTACTTCTCGGCCCTCAGACTAAGCCTCTGGCTTTGGGATAGTCATGATAAACAAAGAAGCAATGTGCATTTTTTTTCTGACATTTAATTGTGTGAGAGTTTCTATGATTTGTTGATTAATGGTGAGAAACAATTTTATAGCTTTATTTTACTAGAGATGGTGATATGTGTTTCTCCAAACATTCATTGTTGGGATTATCAAATATTCATTTTAAATTCTAGATTAGTTGTATTAAAACGGGCTGATAGCATTCACATCGCAGTTAACTTACAGTTTGAGGAATTTTCGATCACACTATTCAAAGTAACAGGACGATTCTAAAGGAACCAGCTACTGTAGGACTCTGGGGCTAGAAATCAATTTTCATTGTAATTATATGAGGGTTGTGTTTACCAGGACATCTGCAGTCATTTAAGAGCACTTCTATGAAAACTGTAATACTTAATTGAGATTTTGTGATTGTTTATAAAGATAGTAATGAAAGCCAGCCATCAGAAAAACAAAATGAAATTAGGACAGATGTTGTATTCCTAGTTCTTATTTTCTCTTTCTCTGTCTTGCTCTCAACCCTTCCCCCTTCTCAGGAAGAGGAAATGGCATTAAGGACCCTGGTCATAGTAGTGTATTTTGTCCTATTCTTTGAATTTTTTCAAAGAATAGGACGAAATGTCCAAATTGGTACTTTTATTTCCTTCACATTGTTGGGAAAAGGCAAAGACATTTATTGTTTTGGAAATCTAAAGGAAATTTGGAAGGGAGTAAGAAATGACATACGAATGACGTATGCTTAGAAAAATGAGGTTTTTAGATCCATAGTTTTAGATTTGTTGTAGCAGAAATTCAGTGTCATTCAGAGAAATGATCTCATTTTTCTTTCTTTGTGTGGACATTTATAACTCTTTTAGGGATTATCTTCAGGCTTATGATAATAGAAAAGGAATACTGAAGATGGGAAAGATGAGGAAGTACGGAAGGAAAAAATCTAATAGCAGTAAATTTCTGTATCATGTTATTAGTGAAGAATGGGCAGAGGGAAGAAGCGCCACTGTGGCTTTTCTGAATTAGGTGGTTCTGTGGAATAACTAAGACAACCTAACCGTCTAGAAATAAATAAAGTGGGTACGTGTTCTCTAGAAAAATAATCCTTATTATTCTCTTACCCAGATACTGTGTTCTCCATATATGCTATTTTAAATGAGAGAAAATGTCTAGGAATATTTTTTTTGCAGTATTTGGCCGAGGCTGGGTTTGAACCTGCCACCTCTGGCTCCTTCTCTTTCTCTGAATCGTATTTGTGTAAATGCATTGTCATTTTCAGATCCAGATCCAGGCTAATCAACCCACTGTCCTGGAAGCATTTTAAATATTCTCTAGGGAAGAGAGCTTTATCAAGTTTTTATTATGTTCAAAAGAGGCTGATGTCATTGTTTCTAACAAGATACATGATAGTTACAAATCACTATCAAAATTCCATGATGAGTGGCTTCCAAAGAGGTGACAGATTTTTGTTTTGTTTTGTTGACCCCATCTGCCTTTGAAATGGATGCTGGCCTCTCTAGTTTTGCTAAGTGTTCTCCAAGGGTGCCACTTCCACTTCCAGTGATGCTCCTTTCAGCCGGCCACTTGGGGATGTCGCATCCAAGCTGCTGTATCTAGTGTAGTCAGCTGGGAGTCTGGGAAGGTGCTGTGGTCTGATGAGCTGCTGTTGTCTGTCTTTCAGGGACAGGAGAGAGTGGAAAGAGTACGTTTATCAAGCAGATGAGAATCATCCACGGGTCGGGATACTCTGATGAAGACAAAAGGGGCTTCACCAAGCTGGTATATCAGAACATCTTCACGGCCATGCAGGCCATGATCAGAGCCATGGACACACTCAAGATCCCCTACAAGTATGAGCACAATAAGGTAGGTGTGACTCTTCCCTGGGGTGTTTGGCAAAGCAGCCCATGACATATGACAGTACAAGTGGCCTCTTAACGTGTCTAGAATGCATAGGGGATTTGTGAAATGTTCATTTTTCATTTTATCCTAAATGGGACTTTAAATGGATAGGTTATTTATAAATTGCTTTTTCTTAAGCCTTAATGTTACACCTATAAAAAATGACAATTGTATTCTTACTGATATCAGTGAAAGACATATTTGTATGTTCAATGATAAAAATACGCGGAGGTTTAAAATTTGGGGAGGGTGCTGTGTGAAGGAGACAGCTTGTGAGTATCATACAAATTGGCCAAAGTAGGGGAATTCAGAGAGGCGGCTGCCTTGACTTAGCCTCAGCCTCCCACTCCTTGTGCTTCATTGAAAAAAGAATGCAAACAGCTTAAGACCATCCTATCTGGTTTAATTTTGAATTTCGTGACTTCCTTTCAATAGTACCACAGGATTCATTTTATTTCAAAATGGGCCCATCTGTCACACGTTTCCAACACGTTCCCCTTCAGTTGTGTTAAACTTCTAAAATCACTTGAGAAAGGATTGGGGGGAAAAGATCTAAATTTCCAGCTTTTTAGAAAGCAAGCGAACACACCCAATATCCTCTAGCATTATCTCCTAGTTGAACTAGAAAAATTTTCCCTTGCTCCCCAGGTGAAAACAAATGCTGTAATCGTTCACCCTCAATGTTAGATAGATGTGATGCAAACAAGACTGGCCCATCTGAGAGTTTGAGTTTATGCTGCACTTGCGCTGCAGAAAGCTGGTAGACAGGAACTGGAGATACGTTCAGGGCGTGACAGCCTCAGCAGAGGTCTCCAGCCCCTGGGGGAAGGAAAATCTATTTGGAATTTTTGGAAACGTCTTTGTAGTTTGCTGGCTGCCCTTCCCATTAATCCGTGTATCTTGGTCTTTGTTCCTTTGGGATCCTAGTTGCTCATCTTGACAGTAAGCTTCACCGTTTGTTGACAAACATTACATTTGTACCTGTAGTTGTATTAGAGCCTTCAATAAGGACTTTGATTCTTTCAGTACTCTTGATAAATCTACTGTGAAGGATATTTTCCACTTACCTGGATCAGTAGATAGTAGTAAGAAGTTGGGATGCCCATTGTGACTCATAGACTGAGATTTAACTCACAAAGATGAATCCATGGGTCAAAATAAGGCAACTCTGTGTGCCTTTATCTCTTCTAAATATGTCAAATTATCTTAACATAGAAATTTCTTTTTCCTGGTTGTTTCCTTGAAATTAACTGGCTGTTTTATGGAATAGATACTATCAGATTAGTTTTCCAGTGGCGATAGGAATCTCTCTGTAAGTAATAAGAGAGACCCTTCGCAAATAAGTGGTCTAAAATTTAAAGGACCAGGGTTTTTTCTTCCACCAAGAAATCTCACTGGTTTATGACATTGGTGGTGTGATGTGGTTTGTTTCCTTGTGTTATAGTTGGGAGAAAATTCTGTTGAAGAATTTTTTGTTTTTTAAATGCCAGTGATTTCCCAGTCAGTGATCCCTTGGTAATGTGATGACCTGAGGAATTCTGGCTCAGTTACCATATGTGTGTGTATATACCACACTACCCATTTATACCACATATTCTACCTATAATTTTATCCCCCAAATCTTATTTCTTGGCTGCTTCAGAAGAATCATTCAGAATCCTGTCCTGTTGGTAGATTTTCACATGACAATCATTTATTATATGGCCTGGTAGATGTAGAAGATTAAGTGGAATTTATGCCTCATTCATGTAACACATTGAAGAATATTTAACACTGTTATTTGAGCTCTTCATGTCAGTTTTAATTAAGTAGACTTTATTGTGCTGAATACTACTGAGTTATAAATTGACATCGTTACAAGTTATAATAATATGGGGCTTTCTCAGATACCATAATTATCCTGTAAAATCTTCCCACGTCTCTTGGTTATTTAACAGACTGCCTAACATCGTGACGTTAGCGTGTGATGACCTCCAATTGCTCATATTTTTAATCCCTTTTAATTTATAATTTGAATCGCTTTCCCTTTTATTCCGTTTTCTGTATATTATACATATTTTGAAGTATCACTCTCCATCTCCACTTTCTTCATCCATTAAATTCCTGGCCTTTGTTAATGCTAACTAGGAATGTAATGTCTTCTTCCTGTTCGGCTCAGCTGCCATTTCCTCAGAGTTCTCTGCTCTCTAGATTCCAAGCTCCTTAAAAGCAAATCATATTCCATTTCCCTGTTTGTATCCTTTATTGTCCTTAGCACTGTGTCTTGTACATTGCAGGTCCTCAAAAAAATACTTTTTGTGACGAGGTAAATCATGGGTGAGCACGAACAACTGACAGTCTCTTCTTCTGCTCCAAGTTGTTGAAATGATTATTCAGATCAACAAATAACTTTCGAAATCTCTTTCCGTACACGAGAGAATTAATGCATTGTGCTGTCAAGGGACACAGGAGTTCAGTCAGGGCTGGGCCAAAATTTTACAATCAGGAAGCAGGAAGAACATGCCTGAAGGGAGGGGAGAAGGAGGAAATGTTATGAAGGAATGTGTGTGTGTCTGCCTGCGTCGCCTGTTGTTATTTCATATGTGTGCCCCTTATTTTCTCAATCAGATAGCAGATTACCTTGCGGTAAGCAGATCTCTTTATTTTATACTTCTTTGTTTCCTCCACAACATGCCAGGCATGTCAGAGGAGCTTTTGTTCGTTGAGTGGATTACTCCACATAGCAGATCCTGGTATCCCTTTATAGTTGGCTTATAATTTCTGTGAACTGTAAAATTAGGGTATTCTTAGGGCAGTTTCAAATTATTGGTAGACCTTTGCCCTCTTCAGTTCCAGGAAGAGAAAAGAATTTGATTCAATGCTTCTTCATGCATTGAATTTAAGATGGTTACTAAACAGAAATCAGCATCATTCTAATGTTACACAGTTTTTCCTTTTTTTGGTGACTGGTATCTGCTCTTAGATTTGAACACTCTAACCACCAGGCTCATTTAGCACCTAGGCTGTAGCTGTTTGACCGACTAACCAGGAGTTTTGATGCCTGACAGCTGTGTTTCCCTTTCACTGGCACGGAGGGTAATGGAGAGGATGGCTTGCTACAATCAGTGCCTTTGTCTTCCTTCTAAGAAAGGACTTTTCACAGGAAAGTCCTGTGTTACAGGTACATTTGATGGTTTCTGAATTTTCTGTACTTCCTGAGAAAACCAGTCATAGAAGCCGTTTTTCATTTTCCAAAAGAAAAATGTAGCCAGAATCCTGGAGAACTTGCCAACTTATTCCAGCCTTTGATCAATTGAATAAAAAATTACTGTTTTCAACACAAGGGAACTTTTTTTAATTTATAAGATGCCAAGAGGCTGGTTTCTTTTTAATATTTCCCATCTGTATAATAAACACATAATACAGGGAGAACTAATAAATATATATATATTTTATCTATTGCTCTGAAGAGTTGTATTAGTGAATGTTCTCTGCTTATAACCAACAGAGGCCAACACTGGCTAATTGAAGTAGGAAAAGAACTTATGGGAATATGGCCTTGCTGGGAGAAATGAGGAAAAGCTGAAGCTCGAGCTCTTGGAAACCAGGGTAGGCCTGGGGAACTCATCTGAGAGATGGATTGAACTCTGGCCGTTTCCAGTCTTCTGTCACCCACCCAAGAGTCAAATTCCTGGGAAAAAGTTCCTGTTTGGTCTACCCTGGTTTCTGTGCTAACCATTTGGACGGAGGAAGTCTGAGCAATTTGATCAGCAGTCCCTGAGGGAAATATGGGTGCAGTTAGTGGAAGAAGAGGAGTGATGCTGGCACAAGTCGCAAATCTCCACGGCAAAAGCACACAGTCAGAATGCAGTGACTAAATGTAGAATATAAATGTCTAAACCCAATAAAAAAAATAGAAAAAAATAGAGAATACAGTGACACATAGCTTCTTTATACAGGCAAACCCTCCAGTTTTACTTAGCATTTGCTAAGCCTTTCCTAAAATAGAATTTCTTACTCTGGGGTGGTGCCTTTGTTATATAGGAAGTAGGTAGCCAAGTTTGAACCAAAGTGCTGAATAGAGCTGAGTAACCTGGAGGTTGTCCCCCTTTTTCCCTAAGCCTCTTGTCTTTATTTTCTAAGCCTGAATTTCCACATCTGTAGAATGGGTCAAATATTAATAGGATTAAATAGATAATGTATAAGAAAATGACTTGTATGTGATCTTTAAAAGTTTGGAAATTATTACAAAATGAATTATGGAGAGAATGAATACTACTAACTTTATTTAGAATAAAACAAACAAAAAATAAACAGCATGATCAGATTTAGGAGGTATATAAGGAAAACCTTGAAATCACCTTAGAATGAGTCACTGAAATGGAATACAAAGGTAGTGGAGAAATCTTTTTTATCTGGGTATGTTCAAAATAGAATGTATTTTTATTTATTTTTTACTTTTTGAGACAGAGTCTTACTCTGTTGCCCTGAGTGGAGTGCAGTGGTGTCATAGCTCACAGCAACCTCAAACTCCTAAACTCAAGCAATTCTCTGGCCTCAGCCTCTCGAGTAGCTGGAACTATAGGCACCTGCCACCACACCTGGCTAGTTTTTCTATTTTTAGTAGCGATGGGACCTCTTGTTCAGGCTGGTCTCCAACTCATGAGCTCAAGCAGTCCACCTGTCTGGGTCTCCCAGTCAACCACTGTTCCCACTAAAACGTATTTTTAATACGTGAAATTCTTTAAGGCAGTTTTGCTAAAATAAAGTAAAGGATGGACTGGGTAACCTCTGAAATCCTTTTCAACACTATTTTTCTTAATGCTGATTCTCTAATTCTAAGAGATAAAACTGTTGTCAAAATTATTTTGTTGGCTCAGCGCCTGTGGCTCAACTGGCTAAGGCGCCAGCCACATACA